AACCCCGTTTCGACCAGACGGGCGAGTAGTGCACAAGGTTGCCGAGGAGAAGCCGGACTGTGTCTCGATCATCAGGTTTGGCCGCGCTGGGGAGAGCTAGGCTGGCAACGTTACCCATAAAAGCGCGGAGGCGTTTGCCGCACATCCTCACCCCTTTCAGGCCGAGTTACGCGACCGAGGTAGTGTTCATTTTGAGGTAAGGCAGGGCCGACTAGGCGCGAGAGTACGACAGGGAAGATAGCGAAAGCGAGGATCCAAGGAAGCCCGGAGACATGACAAGGCTGAGACTTGCAGACGAGCCGCAAGGCGGTGTGGCTGGGAGGTGGTGTGGCCTGATTAAACATTGGGATCGGGTGTAAGGCTGGACGCAAAGGCCCACTTCACGCTAGTCCGGTACGGAGCGACGAGCATTTACATTCAAGCACTTACAGAGACTTAAATGCTCGCAACAACGGTGGTACGACAGCAAGTGAACTCCAACATACCGAGCATCCGCGCAAATCAGTCTCTCTCTCTCAATACCATTTAACGTCTCTTCGCTAAGGTAGCGAGTAGAGACAACCAAGAGCCAGCCAAACTACACCCCTCCCGTCCCCCCCCTGGTGTAGTTTGGGGTGGGGCGAGCGACAAGACCACACAACCAACCACCCTAGAGGTAACGCCCTGAGACCCCGGCGACTAAAGTAAATCGTCCTAGCAATCGCAAGACCGCTAAGGCGAGAAGCAGGCACTCAGTTGCGGGGCCGCACATTGCGGTCGTGACGATGAGGATCAAGGTATCGCTCCAGCACAGCCGGAGTCCGAAGCTGACTGAACTCCATCAGGGCGGGAACTCCCGCACCGGCCGACGCAGCGGCCTGCAGGGCACCCCGGCGGAAACTGTGCACAGTTTCCCCGTCGTACAACTGAGCAGCCCACAGGTGTAGCCGTAACCGCGCGGCAAGAGTGGCGCTCTGCAGCGCTTCCGCCTTGAAAGCCCGCTGGTCCGCCGTCAGCGGGCGAAACAGCGTGTCTTGGACAGTGCTCCCAGGAGGGGCACCAGGCTGGGCGCAAGACCACATGTAAAAAGCCAGAGTACGCGGGATGCAGAAAGGGGGGTCCTCACTGTTGGGCCGCAGCAGCACCGCGGGGCCACGCACCAGCCGATAGGTCTTAGTCCCCCGCTGACGGAAGCAGAGGGTAGGACATCCACCAGGGCCCCAAGACCATGGCGGAGGTAGCGGGAACCCAGAGTACGGTCGGTCAGGCTGCGAAGGTTCGACGAAGTCACCCACCCCCAGCTTCCCGATATCGTGACCCCTCTGGGCAGTCTGCCACAGGAGAAGCACGCACAACAGGTCCCGCAGGAAGACCAGTCGGGGCAAAGCTTCGTCAGTCACCACCACTTGCGACCACAAGTAGCCCACGAGAGCACGGTACTTGTCATAAGACAAAGGTACTGCCGAAACCTCGGTGTAACCCCCGGCGACCTGGGACCGCTGATACGACGCGCGGAAATCCTCAACCCAGATGCAATCGCAAGGGTTGCCTTGGCCGGTGGAGACGTCGAATCGACCACCCCGGCCCACACGGCTGAAGAAACCACTCAGGCAGGACAGGTGGGACTTAACGGCGGCAGGCCCTACGGGGCCGCCACTTCGGCCCTGATGCCGGGGCAGCCACCAAACCGTCATATAGACGAGCACGTCGTCTGGCGTACAATTCCACCAGTCCCGACCACGACCATGGCTGGAAAGCCAACTCAGGAACTCGGTGACGGCACCATCCTGGCGGGACACCGTAGAAGAGGCTAGGGCACCAAGGAGCATCTGGTTGGCCGCGGCCAGACCCCGCTGGTAAGACGCTTCTTGATCCGCGGCTGAAATGAGGGGCGAAGGGCGGAGCCGAGCGATAACCTGGTCTAGGCGACCGCGAGCCACACCCAAGGGGGCAAGTGCCTGCAGTCCAAGAGAATCGCTTAGGAGAGCGCTAGAGCAGGGTCAGCAGCCAAAGGACTTCTCTACCAACCTGGGCAGGAACGCCCAGCGGGAAAGGCCGGCTAACGGGGGGCCCAGCGGATCCGGCGGCGGCGCCGGTGACAACCCCAGGGCCAAGAAAGAACTCCTACGGCAAGCGAGACACGATAATCAGCCAACATTGCACACAGAACAGGGGGCAGCAAACGGATAACCCACAGAAGGCGCCAAAGGTGGAGACTCGAGAGAGGGAGCCGACAATCCAACCAAGGAAAGCGGACCCCCCGGAAGGCCGAGGCCGCCAGTGCGAAGAGGGACCTGCGGGGAGACGGGCCCGTCTATCGCAAGCGCAAAGGACAACACAATAGCTCGGCGACACCTCACCACACCACGTAAGCCCCATCCAGGAACAAAGGAAGGCTGCGCGGAGCTAGTCGCGTCAGTGCCAAGAAAGGCTAAGCCATCGACCTGGGCACGACAGCGGTACGGAAACGCATCAGAATGATCGCACATTCAGGAAAACCGGGAATCAGTGGTTTACATCTAATTAATCTAAACCTAAGGAGAAGGAGATCAGTCGCGATGCAAGTAGGCAGATGAACAGGGCGTAAATCGCCCACGCACATTGGAGACCGCAGTAAGACGCAAGAGTAGCCAATAAATTTCCCTGTCATAAATGCAAGCATCTTACCGCCGCTCTGGACCTAAGGCTTAAAACTTGCGGACCAGCCGAAGACCCTCCCACCCACCCATTAAGCGCATTGGGAGGTGGTGTGGCCTGATTAAACATTGGGATCGGGTGTAAGGCTGGACGCAAAGGCCCACTTCACGCTAGTCCGGTACGGAGCGACGAGCATTTACATTCAAGCACTATACACACACACTACGCCTCTAACAACACCTACCATCGAGTAAACAGCGGCGGCCTCAATAAACCATACCGGAAGTATTGACGGATGGGGCTTTCGGTCCCCAAAGCTTTCCTTAATGGTTGTACGGCGGTAAAACCGTGAAGATGCAGGTTAATTAGCTACGTGAGTGGCATATGTGTGGGAATTTAAATAATAATAATATGCCACAACAACATAAAACTGGAAGCCACGCAACCCAACCCAACCTAAGCTGAAAACTCAGCCAAGAATATCGATCGCATTTACCGCCGGGGCCACGGGTAGCACAGTCGAGGTGATCGAAGGTCATCGCGAAGAGGAAACATTTTAGGCGAGAGCGGTACACAGAGCCTACTAGATACTCGTTATCGTACGCTGAAATTCTCTGCAGTGGATAGCCAAGAACGCTTTTAAAAAACCATAGAAATACTTCAATAAAACATCACCATCAACTTCTTTCTTCAGGTTGTACTCACTAGTAGAAAATGAAGGCAATCTTTTCACCACGCATCGCGCTCGCGCTGCAAAACACAACCCCACAATTCATATCGATGCTGTAGCAAAACAACTCCTCAACCGAATGAAAAAACAGCCAACCGAACGAACCAACTTCCCACCCATGTTGATGAGTAGGTCGGACCTCCATTCGCGGGAACTTAGGTCGTTACTCGTTGGGAAGATTTTTCATCTTAAAACCAAAAAACAATTTGCTTAACCTTTCGGCGCTGATCAGGCTCATCAGATTTCCCCCCTTCTCCCCCCCCACACACAAACACACAGCAGCAGCAATAGTGCCATCATGGCCAAGCGGCCGCCGGATCACTTGAAAACGGGACCCTGTGCCCAAGTAGTCCCTCCCTGCTGCAGCAGCGGTCCGCCTCACGCAACCTCAAATTGCCGCCGACCGCAGCCTGTTGAGTTGTACGGCGGCTGTGTTCTCGCTGGGGCTGCTACGGCTCTGCCGGCTGCTACTGCCCTCCGGACCGCTGCCCGAACGCCCCGCTGGCAATGCGGGACTCCACAACAGCGCCTCCCGGGGCGGACGCAGCTCATTGCGTATGTTCTGCTCAACCTTAATCAAGATTTTGACAATCGCCTCAAAGCTGGGTCTCTTCTCCGGGCTCGTGGCCAGACATGCCCGCCCAAGTCGTACAAGGGCGGGGTGGGCGGAGGAGGGCCACTCGGGTTTCAGCTGGGGAGGGGAAAAAGGGGGGAAAAGGGCAGGGGGGAAGATAGGGGGGAAGCGGACGTGGGGGTTAGGCTGGGGAGGGGAACGGTTGTACATGTCTGTGTTCGTTATGGTAGATTTTGCTGCACGGGGCAACAGTTGTTGCTGATGTACCATATCTGTATAACAATTTTAATATAAGTAATTGTCTAAAAAAACTTATCAAAATAAAGTAGGTGAAAAACTGAACCTAATAGTAACACGTGCTTAAAAAGAGTAAACAAACTGCTTTCTCACCACTAAGTGACGGACCAAAAAACGAACAATATAATATAACAGCAGCTACACAAGCACACCTGCTGGGCACCCAGCCCGCCTTACCACGCCTTGCGCCACACCCAGGAGGACCTGCTGTACGGTAGCATTGCCGTACGGCATAATCTCGCCCGTGACCAGCTGCCACAACAAGATGCCAAAGGAGAACACATCTGCAGCACGATGGGGGGGGGACACGAGAGGAGACGCAGTACCGATACTGTTACAACGATGACGAGAAAAAGATGAGGAGCAAAGGAGAAGAGGCCGAGTACGGCATCAAAAAAGGTTATGACATAAGATCATGAGGTCCAAGGTTCACAAATACATTGACAACAACACACAATTCCGCAAGCCCAGGGGGGCCAGGCGGGCGAGAGGGGTGAAAGGGAGGGAGCTTTTCCAGCAGCAGGGCGTCCAAACACAGAGGTGACAGACAGCTGCCGGGAAGGTGCGGTGGTATTTGGGCGTTATAAGGGAGTGATGGTAGGGGAGTGGTGTACAAGGGTAATGTCGTGGTGGTGGCGCTGGTGGTGGCGGTGGTGGTGGTGGTGGTGGTGGTGGTGGTGGCGGTGGTGCAGGTTAACACACCTAGGGACGCCTAGGTTAGGCAGGCGGGGGCCACGAGGAGGGGTGTTAGAGGAGCAGGAATGAAAGAAATGATGTCGCGGAAGAGTGCATCAAGCCGTACATCGTACGCCGTACCAGATCAGTCCGATATCCGAGCTTCGAAACGGGAACATTAATTTTTTCCTTTCCCATTTGTTGGATAGCTGCTCTACCACAGAATGAAACGAAAGCAAAAATGTTTGTTCGACATGAAAACTTGTGGCAGCAACTGAAGGGACGCGTGGACCCCCTCACCTCACCTCACCTCACCTTCCCTCTCCGGTTCCCGTACCCTCCCCCCACCCCACCTCGCATTCCTCTCTCTCCTCTACCCTCTCTATCCTATCTCTTACACCCGATAATGCCGTACCTGAGGCTTTGAGCCATCGGCCCATGATAACCTCCGGCGCCATAACCGTCACCGTTGACCAGTGGTTAAGCTCCAACGGTTTATCGCCGCGTGTAATCTAGGGTTTAAGGTGATCGGGGTTTCGGAGCGGTCGGTTATTGCGGCTTGGGCGGTAGTTGATCGTGGTGTCCTCCTAGAAGTTTTGGGTGGATACGTCGTACACAGCTACGGTAATCTTTTGAGGATGATACCTTTTGGAACTGTATTATAGCCCAGGTTGATGGAATAGTGGTTGTAACAGTTGACAGTTGTGTTAGTTACCCAAATGGATTCGTCTTAATAGCTTCGTCTCTCCAGGGCAATTAATCCCTTCACTCAGCTGTCGTCCTTGTGCAATAGAGAAAAAAAATACAAGAACATGTTTATCACACATATTGTGCGTTACCCTATCGTACTTTCCTGTACCCTTTGCCGTACATGGCTTTGTCGTACCTTGCTGAGGCCAAAGTCGCTGACGAGCGCTGTGAAACCCCTCCTGTCGGACCTGCATCCCCTGAGCAGCACATTTCCCGGTTTGAGATCTCCGTGAATGATGCCGTTGGAGTGCAGGTGGCACATGCCCTGAGGCGGAAGGGGGGGGAGAGGGGGAAAGGGGGGGGGAGGGGACGAGAAGAGCGGGAAGGGAGGCGGAGGAAGGAGGACGATTATTCGGCGGGATTGCGAACATGTGCGTGTATGTGTGTGTGTCCAAAGGCGCGGCATCTGCAGTTTAAGAGCATGGATTCCCCGACGTGACGTCTAACGTCAGTTCCCACGGTACGGCACCCGCCACGTCAACACATCGACCCTCTCTCCCCCCTCCCCCAACACACACACCCCGATACGCCCACCCACCCACCCACCCACCCACACAGCCACAGCCACAAACCTGCGCGACGTCTCGGGCGGTGCGAAGTAGCGCCCGAAGCACCACTCGCTTAGTGAACCTGGGTGCCTCCGGAAGACCCGCCGTACTCGTCGTACCCGCCGCCGCCGCCGCTACATTGCCGCTGCTCCCGGGGGTGTCGTCGTCCGGAAGTCCGTCCATTTTAAAGACGCCGCGCTTGATGGCCGACAACAAGGATCCCCTGTCGCAGTACTCCTGCACACACATATGTAAGGCGTACGGCGGGAATCTGCCAGTACGGAACGACGGCCGAGTCTCAAAACCAAATGTTAACATAAAGCACCTGCTTCGGGGCCCCCATAATTTATTTCGACCCAACCGAATACGCGTAACGCAGAGTATTACGTACCATGATAATGTGCGTCATGTACATGCCCGGCCGACCCTTAAGGTACGACAGTACGTGCCGTACAGTCCATGACCGGCTGCTGTCCGCCAGGTCGGGGTCTCCAAACCTATTTTGGGAGGTAAAGCGAGGGAAGAAGAGTCGGTGTTCCTTGTATGTATGTATGTATGTATGTATGTATGTATGTATGTATGTATGTATGTATGTATGTATGCATGTATGTATGACTTAGATTACACTGTGGGCCGCGAGAGCCGGGGGCCGAAGCCGAAACACAGCGCAAGGGTCGGGAGCACACAGCATGTATGCATGTATGACGTTGATTACACTGTGGGCTGAAAAGCCGGGGGCCCAGGGCCGAAGCACAGCGCGGGGGGCGGGTGCATACGGCTGGTTAGTCTCATGCACTCCGCCCCCGGGTCAGGCCGCACGGGAAACGACGGCCGGCACGCAACAGCGCTTGTTTGGCGCTCCAACTAGACGGGATCTATGCCCGTTGGTCTCCTAACACAAACGAAGTCGCAACTGGGGGGCTCTTCCTGCCGACCGAACGAACCGAGCATCTCAGAGAGCTCGCAACCAGGACCTGGGCGACCGGGAGCCCGACGAGTCATCCCGGGCTGGGGAGGTCACCAAGCTCAAAAATCCTCACGCAATAAAAAGAGCGCAAAGAGCTCACACCACAAGACGCCAAACAGCCTCCTGAGACTACTACCCTCCTCCGCCTCTCCCTCCCTGAGCTAGTCCAGGGGAGATGTATGTATGTATGTATGTATGTATGTATGTATGTATGTATGTATGTATGTATGTATGTATGTATGTATGTATGTATGTATGTATGTATGTATGTATGAATGTATGTATTCTTGGATGTGGTTGGATGCAACCTTGTGCGTCGCACGTAATGGGCCGATACTTGTGTAGTTGCGGGCGCGGGTGTTCGGTTTGGAGAAATACCCCACGTGCCCGATGATTCTGATAGATAAGATATAAGTTCTATCGGATTAATTACATACATATACATAAATACATACACATGAACTCAGCAGTAAGCGTAGCGACAGTTCGCTGCCTTATCCTTTGATACCAGACGATCGCGTGCGTGCGTGCCAAAAACAAAACAAAACGGAGACAGGAAAGACACGGTATCAGTTATAACAATAACGGTTTCACGACACGTCGTAAGTTCCATACAATATGCCGTACTCCGTACTTACCCCTCCTCCGAATTGAACGCCGACTCTAAACCGAGTGTCTCCATAGCTGATGCCGCAGCGCCCTGGTGGGGGTGCTGCTGCTGCTGCTGCTGCTGATTATTGTGGTTCTGATGCTGGTACTGCTGGTGAGTCTTGTGACTGGTGGCGGGGACGGAAGAGGCGCAGACGCCGGCGCCGGCGCCGGCAGCCGCGGCTCCGTTAGCCGTGCAGTCGTTAGGGCTGTTGGTGCCGACGGCGACGCCGCCGCCGCCGCCGCTGCCGTCACCGGGAACCCGGTCGGCGCTGACGGCCTCAGCGCTGGGCGCGGGGCTGCCGGAACCGCTGGCCAGCGCCGCTGCCGCCTGTTGTGTGTATGATGTGTGAAACAGGGGGGTGTATCTTCGCCCGTGGCAGCTACCCTGCGAAACACTGCCTTCCCCGGTATTTCGGGGCACCCTCATCCAGTCACCCTAGTCAACTTCTCAGTGGATCGCTCAGGTTCCGCACCCATCACCAGCATCCAACGGAATCTGCCGGGTCGACAGCGGCCCAACTCCATTCCTGGTCGGCTCGCAGGTTAACTTTATCCCAGGTCACCACCGTCCATCAACTAGGGGCGCAATGCCTTCCACCATCGGAAGGACTTTACGGGTATCGATCCCGGGATCTCCCGGGGGCAATGGTCGCGCCTTACCAGTGGTGCCAAACCCATATGTGTATGTACGTATGTATGTTGTTACAGGGTGGTTAACTTCGCCAGCGGCCCCCTTTCCCGGGGCAGTCCCTGCTCTCCCCTGCTAGAGGGGCACCCTAATCCGTCACCCCATCCGACTTCAGAATGTATTCGTTGGGTTCGGCAACTCACCACCAGCATCCAACCAAATCTAGCGGATCAACGGCGCATCAACTTAGTTCCTGGTCAGCTCGCAAGTTGATATTATCACGTCCTACACCGTCCATATGATGGGGGGCCACCTCCCATTTCATCACTCCTCAAACACCCGAGGAGCTGGCAGGCGGATTTGAACCCGGGTCGTACGTATGTATGCGGCAACACGCAGCGGTACGGGGGAAATGTCTGATTCGATCGGGTTGCGGGCAATAGTCTCCTTCTTAAGTACAAAAGTCCTAATTAGGCAATGCTCCTTCAGGACAGGTGCAGCAAGGTTACCAGCCAGCTGCTTTCCTCATGACTTGGCGCATCTTGCCTTGTTATATGCTGCTGTATTGTCTCGGTGGGGTCTAGTCAAACGCTTGAAGTTTGGTAAGAAAAAGAACAAAAAACTCAAGAATCCCCACACCCGCCCGCCCTCTCCGGGCCGCCCGGCCCCCCAGCCCCTCGCGTGCCGTGGGCCACACGTGAATGTCGAAGTACGTAGGGTGTCCTACCTGCGCGCGCCGTACACGCATGTTCAGGCTCTCCACACGGACCATGGACGCAGGCCGCGAGCCGCCGCCAGCTGCCGTACACACGGCCTGCTGCTGTCTCTGCCGTACGGCTGCTGCCGCCGCGTTGGCGCCGCATCCACCGCCAGTCCAGGACTCCAACGCTGTTTCCGTCTCCATCAAGGCGTTGAAGAGCGCCTTCAAGCCATTAAGAGCCCCGGATGGGAGGAGAGGGGAACGGGGTAAACAAATCTTTTATCCGTCCACTGACCCAACGCCCTATATCCAGCCAGGGGGGGAAGACATAGTCTCCGGTATTACCTCCCCCCCCCCCCCCGCAAAACCCATACAGACAAAACAGCCAAAGAAGAACACGGCGGTGCTTCCCCGCAAGCGAAGTAATGCTTCAATACACATGAACAAGCACACACACATATACATACACATACACATATACACACACACGTACATGTACATGCGAGTTTAATTTCATAAACTACACGCAAACCATGTCGTACATGCCGCACGTGCAATAGCACACCATCTCCCCTTGCGTCCTCCTTTGCCATCTCCTGGTGTCTGCTGCATTAGCCAGTGGTTGCTCTTATCTTCTCCTCCGGGCCCGGCCCCCAACCCCAAACTCGCTCGTGGTTCGTCTTATCTTTTCCCCCGCCACCCCCCGAACCTCACCCAAGCCCGATCTCGAGCCCCCAACCTACGGTTGCGCTGCAGTCTTCCGTCGCCGTCGTCCCCAAATGCTGATGACTGAACCGGCAGGAAAACCTCGTCCCCGCGACCGCGTCGGACATAAAGCTCGACTCCGTCAGCCGCGTGACGTCAAAGCTGTACGTCGTCACCACATTGGGGTGGCCAACCTGGGTACAACATGCGTGGAAAAGATGTTGGCGCGACGTGTGTGTTCACGTACGACACGTACGACATGACTATTCCCCGCCCCTTGGGGAGAAAACTTCTCTCCTGTACGCGACCCCTCCCCGCGTTTTTCCTGAGCTACCGTAAGCAGAGAGCGAGCAAACAGCTACCCCTGCTGGAGCAGCCACAGCCACAGGGTTTGGGCTGAAGAAATACACTCTGATCTACACACGCACGCGCGTTAGTGTGTGGGTAACTCGACGTGCACACATACCCCATGTTCAACATCAGTATTGAATTTTTTTAAAGCTACGATTAATAATGGTTACAGTAGTTCATGGGGAAAACTGTTTACATGCCGCTTGTGACTACGGATCTCGCTTCGGTGAATCAAAAATAAAAACCACCACCACCATTATCGCCATTTCCCTCGTCGCGGCCCAGATAGATGACTAAAATATGTATCCTACGACATGTCTTACACTACGTACGCCACGTCGTACGCCGCGCCACGCCGTACGAGGCGTCGTACTTACCGTCAAACTGACAATCGCTTCCAATGCTGTGGCATCCACGTGCTCGGGTCGCGCCGCCAACATGAATTTGACCGCCACTGGCGCCCCTTGCCAGACACCCTTGGGTTGTGCGTATGTATGTATGTGTATGTGTATGTGTGTAAAGGGAGGTGAGGCAGGAAGAAAAAGGAACACGGGACGCGGGAGGTGGGTTCATCATATGCAAAGAAACACGGAACACTGAACTGTCGGAAGGTGTCCCAAAAGGGGTGGGGTATTTGGGCGGGTGGGAGGAAAGGTGGAAAGGGGCGGGGAGGGAGCATGCGCTAGGAAGACTAGCTGCAGCAGCACACAGTTGTTGTGGAGTGCGAGTCAACAGATATTATATTGAGATACACATCTAGGTATATTGGAAGGTTGAAAGATCCGCCAATGGCACACAACAGGGTTACTACGGCCCCCGCACACACCACAACCACCCACTACCCGTATCTCTCCCCCCCACACACATACACACACCCATTCCCAATATCACACAATATAATGACACCAACAGCAACAGCAGCAGGACATACCCGCATCCACGCCCGCACCCATTCCCGCTATATCATACACACGCAAACGCACGGCCCCATCACACACACCCCACCCACCCCTCCCCCACCTGAAACACCGCCCCTCCCCCCCCCTGACCGATCCAATGCAGCGCCCGAATCTCCTTGGACAGCGCCGTCACGTTGAGCGAGGCGAGGTGCTGCAGGGGCACCCGACCTGACGTGGAGCCGAAGTGGAGCATCTGCATGAGGGCCACCTGCGGGGGCAGGGGCGGGGCGGGGGAGGAAACCGGGGGGGCGGGGGGGAGGAGGAGAACTGAGCTCCGGAACCCGTTGCCCAGTTCAATGGCGCAATGGGAGAGGAGCCTCCGGGCCAAGATGCCGTGCAAGGCCATGAGAGCGATGGTGTGCGATGCGAGTGGGCGTATGCATGCATGTATGTATGTATGTATGTATGTATGTATGTACGTATGTATCGAAGCATGTATTTCCTACGGAACCTTTTACTCTGTGTGTGTAATTAAATACACACACAGGCAGGTGGCTGGCGGAGGTTAAGGCCTGACTTCTGCTCCCAGCCGACCCGGTTCAAATCCGCGTGCCGACCTCTCGGGTGTGTAAGAGGTGTTGTTTTGGGAGGTGGCCGCCAATTTGTGGACGGTATATGACGTCATTATATCAACTCGCGAGCTGACAAGGACCTCAGTTGAGGCGCCGTTGATTCGCTAGATTTGGTTGGATGCTGGTGGTGAGTTGCTGAACCCAACGAATACATTGTCAGAAGTCGGATGGGGTGAATGGATTAGGGTGCCCCTCTCGCAGGGGAGAGCAGGGAACTGCCTTCAAGGGAAAGGGGGCCGCTGGTGAAGCTATACCACCCTGTAACAACATACATACATACAGCTAGGGACATATAATCACGTGGGAGCATGTCACTCGTTACTTTCTGTATGGCTGAAAATTATACGATCGTCAGCAGAGTTATGCCGTACTGTTGAGACGACAGACGCCGCTGCCCTTTGGACAATTTCCAGCCTTTGTACGGCTCCTCTCACCTGCGACATGTCCCGCGCCGCCTGCTTCGGCAAGCGGCTGGTTGAACAGCCAACATCAAGCGGATACGGCACGTACGGCGCCAGCAGCTGTACGGCACCCGTGTCATCCATTACACGTTGTACCATGCTACCGCTTTCACTGCCAGCGCGCAAGGACCCCCTTGCAGCAACGTACGGCGGATACAGCGCGCCCCCACCACCGCCACCGCCGCTCCTGGCGCCGGCGAGTGAAACAGCCCCACCACCACCACCACCACCACCACCGGCTCCCCCTGCAGCTGCCACCGTGGCGGCAGATCCGGGCGGTAAACTACCCCCGACGTTAAGCTGTTGTTGTTGTTGTTGTTGCTGTTGTTGAGCTCCGTGTTGTTGCTCGTCTTTGAGGCAGCCCTGCTGCTGCTGCTGCTGCCGCTGCGATTGGTGGTGGTTGTGAGGGTTCAAATCCTGCTTCACCTCCTGCTTCGGATGACCTGCTGGCGGCGGCGCCGCCGCCGGCAGCTGTACGGCACATGTCACCGCCATTTGCTGCTGCATTACCGCCCCTGATGACGACGCGGTGGCAACGGCGGTGGCGGCGGCGCTGCTGCCGCACCCCTCGCTGCTCGCCTCCTCAGCCGTCCGGAGCTGATCTCCATCTCGTCGCAGGCTCGTGGAGGAGTCAGCTGCCAGTGCTACCGCCGCCGGTACCGCCGCCGCCGGTACCGCCGCTGCCGGTACCGCCGCCGCCGCGCCGTCGGCGCGGGACATGGCCGCCGGCAGCAACGCTACCTGTGATACAGCACTGCCCACATCTTGTACCATGTGCAGCAGCCGCCGCGTCATGTCGCCCAGCATTCCGAACGCGCCGCCGCCGCCGCCGCGGGAGTTACGGCTACCGCCACCGCCGCCGCCCCCTACGGAAGCCTGGCTGCTCAGGGGTGTTCCCCAGCCCCCTCCCCCCCCACCCACATTTCGACCAACACTCCCACCCGTCGTCTGGCGTGATAATAAACCCGGTGGCGGTGCTGCTACTGCCGCCGTAGCGCTCTCGCCCGCGGCAGCAGCTTCCCCAGCCGCGCATGAGGCCGCTGCTACAGCTACAGCTACTGCTGCTGCTTTGACGTCCAATTTGGGTTCCTCACGTTCCTTGGGTTCGTACGACGTGCCGTCAGGAGCCGCTGTTGTTCCTGTTCCGGCGGCTGTAGCTGTAGCAGCTCCAGCCGCAGCAGCACCCAGCACAGCCAGCTCCGGTCGACCCAAACGACTGCCGCCGCTGCGCTCGACGGTCATTGACCCACGGGTTACTCGACGCTCGCGCGCACCGGAAGACAACCCCGTTGCCGCCGTTGTCGGGCTTGTCACCACCGCCAGACGGTCAGCCGCCGGCACTAGCTCGCCGCTACACTTCACCGCCGCCACTACTGCTACTGCTGCCGCTGCCGCCGCCGGAGCTGATGCGGACGCCGATGTGGACGCGGAGGAGGTCCAAACAGTACCCGGCTGTAGCTGGGTCGCGGCACTGAACGCCGTTACGGCGGTGCCGGCGCTGCTACTGCCGCCGCCGGCCCCGCAGGCGTGCAAGGTGTTTGCGGGAGGGCCGCTGCCGGGGCTGCAACTCGTGACCAGGGGCTCGGAGAGTGATGCTGTAATCTGCATGTCGGTTGAAGATGATATAATGGAGGCCAAGTGACGCGGGGGCAGGGGTTGCATTCCGGAGCCTGCCGCGCACAAAAAGGACGGTGGCGGCTGCAGCGACGGAGGCGGCGGGAAGGCGGTAGACGGGCATTCGTCCTTGGAGTGTTGTGATGGTACTGATGGTGGTTCCATTGGCGGTTGCGGGGGTCGAGAGGGTGGTGCGCCAGGTGAGTGCGCCGACTGCTGCTGCTGGAATGACCCATGGGTCCCTCCTCGAGGTGAAACTGCTGGGGCGGCTGACGCCACGAAGGGGCTGTGCGGTTCTATGAATGAGTAAGTTGACGTGGTTGAAGGCCTGGAAGGAAGCGGGAGTGGCGAGTGTGAACGGGAGGAAGGGAGGATGGTTGTCAAGATTGCGATTGTCACTAGGGGTCACTTGAACATGAATTGGGTCATGTTTAGGGTTGGGGATTAGGTTGGGAGGAGGGTGGATTCCAGAGTCTAGTCGAGCCGCTTGGAAGAAGAAGTCTGGAAAGCGAAGAGGTCATCATTATGCGCAGCGAAAGACAGAGACCAATAGCCGTTCGGTCCAGTGCGCCGAGACTGTCGGGGCCCAAAAGCAAGGCATCAAGGGGAATGGGTTTAGGAGAGGAGCGGGGAGTCAACAGCGGGACAACAGGGAAGCACAGTAAGGGAAGGCCGCGGGTTCAAAGGAGGAGCAGAAAGAGGGGAAGTGGTCGAAACGAAAGAGAAGGGAGGGGACTGGAAGAGAGAGGAGAAGGGGGGGAAGGTATGCACAAAGGGGCGTCGTTCAGTGGGAACACACGCGAAATAAGAATATATACATACATGCCTACTAGGAGCGCGCTAACTTTTGTGTACCAGCACGATCTGCTGACCATGGCGCAACGGTCAATGTGCGGGAAGCGGGGTGCAACTCAACTAGTGGCTTGACTGCTCAACTCGCAACGTCCAGTTTTTAAAACACATCCGAAGCACCCTGATTCTACTACGACAGAGCTTGTCTTGTCGTGGAGGCGATGAACGACTGAGCGGCTGGTTTACTTGGCTGCGTCTTATGTACTTGAAATGCAAAGACCGGAGCAAGGTATGCCGGTTGCACCTCCGCACACCTGCTAAGCAAAATACGGCTTTGAAGCTTCATAAGAAATCCTCTCTCGCTGCCTTAAGGTGTAAGCTCGTTCGCAGAGCTCACTCCATGAACACGTAGGCGCTCCGCCATGAGGACCCGGCAACGACGGTCCAAACTTCACATTTCGTTACATCACAGACGCACCTTATCCCCTCCTCAGGTCCTGAAAGGGGATCAGCATCTGCAAGATTGTGTCCTGCTCGCGGTTGCGCTCGAAACTCCCCCTCAGGCATGCATTCAGCCGCAGAAAACATGCTCGGCTTTGGCGGCTGCGCGTGCAGGGCAGATGGCTCTCTGGACGCATCTGCAGTCGAAGAAGTCTCCAATCCCTGTTCTGAGTTTTGCCGTTTTTGTGTCTTCCGTAGTGGCGAGGGGACCTCGCGAACTCGACAATCCTCTGGCGACCGCGCAAAGTCAGATTGCACTCCATCTTGAAATGCTGCTTTAATGCTTGTTAGTTCATCGCAGCCTTCATCGTTAGCCCGCGTGTCCCCAGCTTGAACAGCTACGACGTCGCTGGAGTTCCGTGCCTCCGGCGAAGCTCCGCAACATATGAGACACGACAGTCGCGATAACATTGTCGAGTGTGCACGTCCAATACTGAATAGATGAGTATGGCCCGGATCCAGACAGCAGAATGTAGCGCTCTGCAAGGTACCCCAAAAGTTCACTTCTACAGGTGGATAACAGAAAAGTAACGTACTCCATTAATACAGGCGTATGTGCCGCCATGGGACTGTCCGACTGGTTTCATTCCAGTTACAAATGTACGTTGTTATCCCGTAAGCCCACATATGTTCGCTTTTTTGTACTTCTTCACTGTGAAGATGTACTGGAGATATCTCCTTGTAATGAGAGCATCTAGCAAGTCCTTTCCGTCAGGAGCACCCGAAATAGCATTGAAAATTCACCTAGCCCGATAAACCTGAATATTCTCTGTTGGCTTCAGCCTTGCATGCCGAAGAAATACAGGGATTCGCAAAATGGTTGGACCTTTTTAAGGCCTGATCGGGGTCTGAATTGTGCACAACGCGCTCGCAATTCGTGGATCGCGTCCGAATTATGCACTGCGCCGTCGTAAGATGCACATGAAGCAGAACGCAGACTCGGAGGCTACGTACTGCTGGCTGCAGTACGGATTACTTCAGACACATAAAACTCCTGTTTGTTCCTGTCTGTAATTGATTTGCCAGATTTTTACAGCATTCCCTTGTCTCCCTCCAACCAATCAACTCCGTCTAGGCACACAAGGAAACGTAGTGGAGGCTGTCAGTTGGTGTTGTACCAATATGTTAGGTAACTGACATTTGCACACAGCTACACTTAACGCATACATGTGTGGGCCTTTCACGCCTTATTGTCAAGAATTCCGCTTCACCTAGACTGCATCATTTTTGGACTGGCCAATCGCCCAAGCGGTACCGCGGTACCCAGCGGTAGACTGGGTCACCCAATCTCTGAAACGAAGTTTGGCTAATGCGACCTCCGGCGGAAATGCAACAATGTTTGTGGGTTGCGAACGGGGCGTCGGTTGATACACGCGACATCACAGGAAGTCGCACACCAAGCCCAAATTATGGATCGGCCCATCCACAGAGGGGTTGTTAACTTTTGGGCGCGTTTACATTGTTTTACCGCATAAGGCCGACCTATGCGGGTTGGGTCACAGTTGGAACACACCATCCCATTTTATGTGTTGTGGACGGCAAGTTAATCATAGGGAAGCCAATGTCCCCCTGCTGATCCCATTGCTTGTGCTGCTACCAGTGCTTGTCAGGTCTTAGTTTACACCCTGCCTATTGAGTAGTAGGTTTGCGTGCCGTTACGGACCAGTTGGTCTACCTTCCTGGTTTGTGTTTCATGCAGCGTTGGTCAGGATCCTGTCAGGATGGGCAAGAGAAGGCCCATAGATCTATGCGGCCCCGGCCAATGGCTATCTTAACAATGCAATACTAATCGTAGCACGTGCTGTGGTGGCAAAAGGCTTTGGAGTTTGGGATGTGACAGTCAATGGTCACGCGACGCACTGCGCCCTGCAGCATATGCGCGTGCATCGCCGCCACCTCAAGCGTACCGTACCCTGTCGTGGAGGACTGCGGCCACCCGTTTTGCCGCCCGGTTCAGCCCCATGGTTTAGAGCAGCTGCGCTACGGACTCTGCGCAATTCATTCATGCCATGAATTCTACTTTGAGAGTGTGTTTCTTTGTGTCGAAGGGAAGGATGCGCTGCGAAGGGAGCTAGCTTCGATTGTGAGCAACATTGATGTAAGCAGCAGTCAGCCTGGCTTTTGAAAAACGAACACCCTAATAAGTCCATGCGCCTTGGACTCCTTCGGTCAATATCAAGATAACAGCTCTATCCTACCTAATCAGCGAATCAGATGTGCTACCAATTTGATCCATCCTATGATAAGATCTAGAGAACCTTGCCGAACAAGCCTCGGGACATCACTGTTACCGTGCCAAATTGCCACGGGGCAAAAATAGTGTACGACCTTCTGGCGCTGTCAAACTTGACTGGAGCGTCAAGGGTACAGGACTGAATGTCAAAAGATGTATGACTTTCACGTTGTATAGACAAGCGGGACACTTACGAAGATGTCTCAGGAGTCCATGTCTACAGCTACATGGCGCCCACACACTAACTTTGCCGTTCGACGAGCTTCTCGCCAGGTTCATATACAACCAAAATGCTCTTGGGCATTAAAGATTGGCTGGGGTTCCGGCAGACCCGCTGGCTTTGGCTTTTAGCGTCAACATTTGTTTACTTCGTGGCCCTTGGTGGATTCCTTACACCCATAAGTCAAGTCTATGGTGAGGCTTCCTTAGGTTTACTTCTAATTTATATAATGGAAACCGGAAGCTTGAAACACTACTGCCTTCTGCACGCCCGCCAGGCGCCCCGAGCCCGTCGCCTCCTGCACCTTTCCCGCCGCGCCTCCCGCCACGCCCGCCCGTGCCCGAAGCCAGCAACTGCACCTTTTCTCTCGCATGGGGCGCGAACGACCTTGCCACACGCAATTTCTCCTCCGTCAACGACATCCTTACGTTACTCATGTCTTACAACGGTACGGCGCCACCATCTTCCTGGTTCTGGAGCATCACCGCTACCATAACAGCCGTACTCGGCGCACTGGACGCAAGCACCCTACCGCGAAGCACCTGCGACGTCGCAATGCAGATAGCGGCGGAGAGCCTAGCGCCGCTGTCGTACGTCTTTGCCGTACAGAATGTCACGTGCGCGTATGTGGTCGACGCACCATTACCACCGCCGCCGCCACCGCCGCCCTCACCATCATCGCAGATACCGTACGCCCTGGCCCCGCCACCGCTGCCTCAGAGCGCCGAGATACCGGTGTGTAAACAGCAATACGGCTCTATTACTTTGATCGTACAGTCTAACTAAAAGGATTTGATAGCCGTTCTTGTACTTGAAAGTTCAGCGGGCTATAGGGAATGGGGTGGTAACGGCGTCAGTGGTAGGTTGCAGATGTGGCGGCAGAGCAAGGTCACGTCCTGGCATTACGTGTGTAAGAGTGACGGAAAGGTAAAGCGGACACGGGCCCTCACTGGCAAAGTGAGAAGAATTAAATGGCAAAGCCCGTTTTGTGTTATGGCTCAGAGGTTGTGGTGGTGGTGGTGGTGGTGGTGGTGTGGCACAATGCCAAGCATGACGTCCTACTCGCCATATTTTTCTCCAGGACCTCCAGGACCCCCAGGACGCAAATCTGGTTTTCATAAAGCAAACGTAATATTATAAACAGTGGACAGTCGCAATGACCTTTTTCCCTCATTCCACTCCTCCTCCCTCCTCCTCCTCCCCCCTCCCCCTCCTCCCTCCCCCTCCTCCCCTCCTCCCTCCTCCTCCCCTCCTCCCTCCTCCTCCCCTCCTCCCTCCTCCCCCTCCTCTTTGAACTGTTTTTGCGCTTGTGTGGTTACCTCCTTTTGGTCGTCCATCACATCCTCACCGATACCTATAACCTCTACCTAAGCTACCACCTACCACCTCCCGCCGCCAGATGTGCAGCTCCCCCTCCTCCTCCTCCTCCCTCGGGCGCCTGCCGGACTCCGTGGTGGCGCTCAGTGTTGGCACATTGCGCCTGTTCCCCGCCCTGGAGCCCTCCAGCGCCCTGCCCACGGTGCCGCTGCACCTGGCCGCAGCCGCAGCCGCCGTGACGCCCTCGTGGGGGAGGTTCGGGCTGTGTGTGGCGGCGCCCTGGGGCCTGGGGGGCTCCACAGCGCTGGTCACGGTGCAGGTAGGGGTAGCCGCCGGGGGCTTCCAGATGTTGAGCTCGAGGGGGCGGCGAGATGGGGGCGGCTATCGGGATGTATATCTGTCTGTCTGTCTATCTATCTGTTTCTCCCTCTCGTCTCTATGGAATGGACTTCTACCTTCCTATCTGAATGGTTGATCTAAAGAAGTTGTGTTGCTTTTCCTGGATGTTGCCTATCTTGGCAATGCGGAGCTCTGTGTGTGTGTAGGGTGTGTGTGGTTGTTACAGTGGGCTCCGGACTCACGAAGAGCTGTGTCACATCCCTCACGCCCCGTCCTCCTTTTTGTGACGCCTCTTTCTGTGTTGCCGTCCAGATCCCAGCGGCGGCGGCAGCGGCGGCGGCCCCGACAGACAGCACAGACCCTGCCGCCGACGGATGCGTCGCCATCGCCACGCGTGTTGTACAATCGCTGACGGCGGCGGCGATTGCGGCGTCGTCGGAAAACGGGACATCGTCCATGCTGTCGGACCTGTCCTCGCACCTGAAGCCATCAGAGGTACGGCAGGTTATGTACGGCGCCCTCTCTTCCTCATACGATGGCCCCGCACCCGCATAACCCCTTCATTCCCCTCATTCCCCCCATCGTCGCAGTCCGATATTATGCGCGCTGCGCAAAAGGCCGCAGAGCAAATACAACAACAGCAGCAGTCCGCTTCGAGTAACGGCGGCAACCAACAATCCACTTCCTCGTCCTCGTCCTCGTCTTCGTCGGGCGCCTCTGCTGCGGGTGGCGTGGGCGTAGGTGGGTCAGGTTGCCGTCTGTTGGCTGCTACTGCCGCCACCACCACCACCACCACCACCACCACCACCACTCCGGCACCTTGTTCGCGTCCGGTTGCGTTTCGGTGCGGCAGGAGGGGAGGGAGGAGGGAGGCGTGCGGGGTGGTGGGGGGGTAAGGTACGGGCCATTTCATCTTTTTGGTCTTTTTGCATATGGGTTCGCCGCCCTCCTCCTCCCCGCAACCGCACCAGGTGTTCCCTCTCTATTGAAGGTGTATATTTTGAAAGTGTATATTGGGGTATGATGAAGTAAAGGGGATGGAAACCAACGGGCTCCTTAAATAGCTCCCACTGGTCCATCGAAACCCCTATCGAAACCCCCACCTGGGGGTGTTTCCCTCCCCACCCCGTGCAGCCGTCATAGCGGGCTCAGCAGCGGGTGGCGGGTTGGCGCTGCTGGGGCTGGCGGCGGCGACCTCCGTTGCGGTTGTACGACATCTGCGGGAGAGGAATACCAAGACGGTGGCGGAGCAGTTGGTAGGTCGGCGGCAGATGAAGGTTACGTGTAAAAATGTTTGTGTTTGCAGCTGTTATCCCGACTTCTCATCGTTTATCTGTCTGTGTGTATGTCTGGCCCCGCCTGTCTCTTGCTGTTCATCGTGCTGTTTGTCGTACAACCATGTCTGTATCGTTGCCAACTTACCGTGTATTTGTCTGGTTCTGTCTGCTAGTCTTCCTCCCTGACTGTTTGTTTGTCGGTTTGTCAGTTTGTCAGTTTGTCAGTTTGTCACCTCTAAAGGGCCCGCTCACCTTTCCCCGCTTCCTCCACGGGGCCTGAAGGAGGGGATGGGGGGAGGCAGCGGACCCACGGACCCCAGCTGCCGCCTTGGTCCGGAAAGTCCTGAAATCTCGACATTTAAATATTTATGTTTACATACCATACGTATGTATATACATATATATACATACATATCTTGCCCTGTTATGTTCACGCAGCCGTTCAAGTGGCTACATCAACCGCGGCAGCAGCAGCAGCAGCAGGCTACGGACACCATGCAGCCGACGACCGGTCCGCCCCCGCCGGAAGGCCCCCCTGGCCCCCTGGAATCAACACCTCCGCCCCCTCTCCCGGCGGGAGTGGGCAGTATCCCATCCGACCCGCCATCGGCGGCGCCACCGCCTGATGAGTCACCTGACGAGCAGCTTCTGACGCAGGTAGAGATAGGCGGGGGTGAGCAGGAGGGGCATATACGCATAACACGATATGATGCGTGCGAGGGGGGTTTGAAAGAAAGGGAAGGGGCGAATAACTTAACCGTTATGTGTTTTTTCAGAACCCACAGAGCCCGATCGAAGGAAGGAGCATGTGGGGTACGTACACGGGGGGGGACGAGGAAAAAGGAGAGCAGAGACTGGTTTTGGTAGCAAGCAGGGCACGGTAATGAGATCCAGAGGCATGGACGGACGGAGGAAGGGTTGGGCTTCATGATGTAACATGTATATCAGCATGTGTGTATGTATGTAAGTATGTGTGTGTGTTTAACAACATTCGGGGCAGGAAGAAGATCAGGAAGAACAACTCCCGTTTGGAGGGGGGTGTAGGTGCCTCAGGGTCGAGGGGAACAGTTATGCGTGTTGTTTCGGTTGGTACGTGCATCTGCATCTTCTTTTCCTATGCGCTCCCGATGCAGCTGCAGCCGATTGCATGCGCGAGCACAATACCGTAGGTGCATGCATTCATGCAGGCAGGCAGGTACATACGTATGTAAATTTGCATATACGCAGACATGTATGTATGTATCTGTATATGTATGTATGTTGTTACAGGGTGGTATAGCTTCACCAGCGGCCCCCTTTCCCTTGGAGGCAGTTCCCTGCTCTCCCCTGCGAGAGGGGCACCCTAATCCATTCACCCCATCCGACTTCAGAATGTATTCGCTGGGTTCAGCAACTCACCACCAGCATCCAACCAAATCTAGCGAATCAACGGCGCCTCAACTTAGTTCCTAGCCAGTTCGCAATTTGATGTAATCACGTCCTATTCCGTCCACAAGATGGGGGATTCCACCTCCCACACACCCGAGAAGTCGGCAGGTGGATTTGAACCTGGATACTCCGGGAGCAGAAGTCAGGCCTTAACCTCTGCCAGCATGTATGTATATATGTATGTATGCACCCACACTTGGGCCCATCTTGTTCCCGGGCGCAGGTTGTGAGGCTAACTGCTCCGCCGCCCACGGACTCCGAGGAGGCGCTGCTGCTGCCGCAGCCTCCGTCCCACCTCCACCAGCAGCAACAGAAGCGGCAGCAGCAGCAGCCTGCAGTGTTGAAGACATCGCCGCAGCCTCCGTCCCTCGGTATGGACCCGTGGGGCGCCCTCCCCAACCAGCTCCCGGATGCATCACCTCGGCAGCCACTACTGCCGCCACCGCCGCCGCCGCCGCAGCAGCAGCAGGCAGTTGCACCCGGTTTGGTATCGGCGGCGGCAAGTGCGGACCGGACGGAACCACCAGCGGCAGCGGCAGCGCCAAAAGAAGCAAGGTCGTACAGGTGGCTTCGGGAAAAGATGCAACGGCGGATGGACGCCGCCGCCGCTGCCGCCGCTGCCGTAGCGTCAGCGGATGCGCCGCCGCCACCCCCACTGCCGCCTTCTTCCCTTCTGCGGCCGGGACAGGTGCAGGAGTATCATCAGCAGCAACCGCCTTTGGAATCGCAGCCTTCTCGTTGGTCGGGTCTGATGCAGCATCAGGAGGAGCAGGAGGAGCTATGGCAGCGGCAAAAGGGCAGCTGGGAGCGGTCCTTCAAGGACATTGGCGGCGGCGGCGGCATTAACAAGGACATCAGCGGCGGAGGCGGTGGCGGAGGCGGAAACTCTGGCGGAGGCGGAGGCGACATTTCCATGGCAAGTCAGCGGCGGCGGCCGTTTGAGGACCCTGCATACGGCGGCGGCATGCCGTGACGGCCAGGGGGGCCGGGCGGGCAGAAAGCGTGTTCGCATGAGCGTGCAGGAGAGGTGTCCGTACAAGGTGTTACATATTACACCCAATAGGACGTCGTGTACACACATGCACACATCTGCACACCTGCGCTCATCAGGCTAATTTAAAACGTCTCGTGTTGCTGGTATACCGGTTACGGGTTGTGGACGGCGCGACAGAGGTCGGTGTGATGTGACACTCACTCACTCACTCACTCGCGAGCGAGCTTTGCATCCGGCACAGGTCCTCCGGTCCTCAGCTGCGTCCTCGTGTGTCGCTGATCCTACTAACTGCTTAGCACTTTTGCCTTTTTGCTCCCTCTTTCGTTAAAGCTCGTTTCATCCAGAAACGCTTACATAAACGCGAGCGGCGTGGCGCCATCAATCGATCGATCGTTCGATGTGAGAGCGAGCGGGGCAGGAGGATGTCCGGCAACCCCTGGTACGGTGGGAGGGTCTGGTGGGGTTCCGGTGGACGGGTAGCCAAGAAGGGTGCTTCTGCAATCTGCATGCGGCAGAAAAAAGGGGAGGGAATACACAATGTTATCACATGGGCCGTTTCAAACGGTAAGGTAAATATATGTTGCATCATAAAGTCAATAATAGTAAAATTCATATTCCGAAGAAAACAACATGCACAGGTGCACAGCATGCACGAGTCGAGCCGTTTTCCGTATGCCGATAAGAGATGCTGCACGAGAGGGGGTGGCCGTGGCAATCTCCCCCCCCCCCCGAGTCGGGGCGCATAGTCGGGAGGTGTGTGTGTGTGTGTATGTGTGTGTGTGTGTGTGTGTGTGTACGTGGGGACTGGTAAGGGTGCCCGCAAAGGCTGCTGGGTTTCCGTCGCATACCATTTGTGCACTGGTTAGTTGGTTGGTTACGCAGTTATGTTGGTTGGTTGGTTGGTTGCACTGCCGTTGCAGCGAATTCCTATCTAAGGATTGTCGCCTTCATAATCACTTCATGAGCATATATAACATTATTGGCTCGACGCCAAGTCGCACACGTTGCACCGGTTGCTTCTTAGGGTTGGTGGCCGGAAAGAGAGTACATGGATGCGCCGCAATGGGTGTGCACAGCCGAGCTTCAGTTCAGGACAGGAGAACGATGTGGAGAAGAGTTGTGCATGGGTATGTGTACGTGCACGTCGTGACGTGTGTGTGTGTGTGTGTTTTGACCCACATCAGTGGTGGCGGGAGGCGGCTCGCCTGGGTGGCTGTGTACGTAGAGGTGGGATGTTTGCGACTATGGCACGTCCCGCGAATGGATCGAGGTGAGCAAGATTTGCTGTTTTACGCAAAAAAATGCAAAGCGAAATTTATGTACTTATAAAACACAATTGCAATACAAAAAATACTAAAAACCAAGAAGGTACTGGTAGTGAGCAACGAGGGTGCGGACGGCACCGGAGGGTGCGGAGGCAGGCAGGTCTGGGTAGTAGGAATCAGGTGGCCAATCATATTGACAGTAGTGCGTGAAGGAGGGAAGGATAAGAGCACCGGGGCTAGGATAAGGGACGCTTATGAGGGGACACGACATTGGAGTTACCCATGCGAAGGTGGTTTTGCTTCGCCTGCTGTGGAGTGGTGTGATGTTCATCGTAACATCGTCTTTAACAGAAATGTTTACTTCGGAACCCCGACACCTATCCTATAGTATATCATCTCGGGGGTGGTGGTGGTATGATCAAGATGTAAAAAAGGGTCTGCGTGTTTTATTCATCATAATGTTTTTGTTCACGCTGTGTATAACTCAAAACAGTCCTATCTGTGTTGTCAGCAGTTGCGGGTATCGAAATCGTGCGCTGGAATGGGGGTCATCAAACCACCCGTACTCCACATGGGGGTTAGCGGTCGTCCCAACCCGGTCTCCAATATCCTTACAAGCAAACTTCAGGCACATACCTCGCGCTGCGCATGTAGGTTTGTGGCGCATGGCCGCTTGATCAGCCGGGGCCGGACACCGACCCTTTCGTATTGTGCCAACACGTGCCTCTACTCTCTCGCTTGCATTCTCGCGAGCTGCTGCAAGAGCGTGTAGGTGTCATGCATCCCAATGCAAGACTATCGCATGCCAGATGCACGCCACGAAAAGCCGATTGCTTGTTGGTTTCTTAGCCACCGCAGCCGCGGGATTTAGGGGTTCATGAGGGTGCTCAGGAAAGTGGGGGAAGTACAACATTTAAGCTATAAGGAAAAGCTCTCATCAACAATTAAGCCATTAAGGTGGGTGGGTCAACACAGAAAGCAAAGGAACACCTCCGGCTCGCGTCGCGTTCACAAGCTACGTTCTGTCCCAATGCAGCTCTGTCCCAATGCAGCGCTGCCCCCGGGTGGATTTCAACGCAATTGACATCAACTGCCTCTTCTGACCTCTGACCACCCGGGGCTCGGGCTTCGTCGCACTGACGCATCTCGTTGTTTTATCATCGTCGCCATCCCGGAACACAAAAAGAGAAACGCACACAAGACAAACATCATGCATCACGTGCATCACCGGAGCCGTCATCCCCTCATCATAACCATGTGCCAAAACACGTTCCGTTGCAATGCATGTGCAATATAATATGTGTGCTTGTTGTGGTAGCACATCGCATGTCGCGGGAGTCCTCAACTTGTGGTTTTCCATCCACTCATTCCTCATCGCATGCTTACGTTGTCATGTCACGACATGGCCACACGCGCTTTCGCGATGCAGATTTCCCCTCCCCCCCCGACCTGCTTGCCAGCACCGTTTTTCGCCGGCCACACATTTCATATACCTTTCCTCCGCCTTCCCCCCTCCCCCTCTCCCGCTCGCCCCGCCGTTCCGGATGTGTGAGCGGCAGGGTCCCCGTGCTCGTCGTGTCACCTCACATCCCCCCTGCCCTGGGCCTCCCCCCCCCAAAATTTACACCCTACACCCCCTACACCCGCTCTGCCTGCCTCTTATGCTACTGCTGTTGCTGTTGCTGAGCTCTACTGCGATGGCTACTGCTGCAATGCTAATGTTGTGGCTGACTGAAAGTTGCTTCTCCTTAATGCTACAGTAGGCTCCTGCTGTTGCTACTGCTGCAATTGCTACTGCTGCTGTTGCTACTGCTGCTGTTGCTACTGTTGCGGCTTGGGAAGGTTGTCAATTGTGATCTTGGGCAAATCCTCAGACATGACGGCTGGGAAGCCAAGTACGGCGCCGTAGAAGTAGAACTCACCCTCAAGTGCGGTACGGATGCTGACCGCCTGAGGCAGCGAAGTGTGAGCAGGGTGGGCCAAGCGGAGGCAGTGGGGGGGTGGGGAGTGATAAGTTAGGGGGTGAAAGGCAGCCCGGGAGCAATAGGCCGCGCTAATCTCTGGGGGTTGGGAAAGGTGGTCCTTGAACGTTGTGTCGGCAGCACCCCGCCCCACCCTGCACGCGGGGACGGTCGCGGTAGTTGTAAAAGCGACTTTACGCTTGGTACAACTTACCAAGTATACAACCACAACCACAACCACAACCATAACCGTCATTTCAAATGTGCACTATGTGTTAACCAACAACAAATCGTCAACCACCTAACCAACCTGTCGGAATCCGTGTTGCTCTCCAGCAAGCATCACCAGACCAGTGGGGAGACCCGCGGCCTGTATGCATACGTGTGTATATGCACGTATGTATGTACGTACGTATGTTAGTTGGTTCCGAACAGCGGACCCGGGTAAGGGGAGGTGAAGAAAGGGCGAATAAAGGGGTTGAGGACGGAAAGCTGGGAAGAAAGTTCGAATGCGAAAAGGCGGGAAAAATACAAAAGGGGCGAGGGACAGGAAAAAAGTCCTTCCTAGACTAGAAAATTACGAAAGGAAAGAAAGGAAACGGTGCCCGGCCCGAGGGCTGAGTTCGTTGCAACGATTGCAAGGCGATTAGTTCTGTGCTCCATACACAATCCCGCCTTAACAGGAAGACATCAGAAAAAACATAATCTAAATCATCAGCTGTGGTGAAAACTCCACACAGCTGTGGCAGCATATATGTACTTGCATCCACATGTGTGCGCTCGAGCGCGTATCGAGATAAAAATCCACACCTTGTGCCTTCTACAATACCTTCACATCACACATGCATACCTTTACGGCGTTGTACATGGCGATGGCCTGCTCCGGCGGCACCACCTTGTCCTGGTCGCCCTGTTGTGAGGGTGCGCGTTAAGAGAGTGTATAACGGCTGTTGTAGATTTTTTAAACCCAACGTCGCGGTGAGAAATTAGAAAAATCAGGATCAGCTTAACTGGCTGGTCAGCTACACATGTACGGTGCCGTACATACCTGGAAGAAAATGACCGGAGAGGAGAAGCCGTCTGGATGCTTCAGGGGCGATCGCGCGTCGTACACAGCGGCGGCATCCGGCAGGGGCCCAACCATCATGTCCAGATACCTGCCGTACACAATACAAGTTTTTCGCCGTACATTAAATCGTACAATGAGGAACCCTCATCCCATTCCGGTTCTTCAGAGCTTCCCTTTCACTGCCCTGCCCGGTGTGACACGCGGGAGCTTATGATGTGAATATATGTGACACATGTGACACATGTGACACATGCACGTGATCTCGCGCCACACAGCCACACAGCCACAAGGGCAGCTCCCGTTGCACACCGCACTGCAGCACACCGCACTGCAAGGCAAACTGGGAAAAGAAGGAAATAAAGTAGTATGGACGCATGGACGCATGGACGCATGGAGCACACACAGCCATGGTCACACATACGCGTATTGTATCGAACCCCAAAGACGCCCGCACACCCGCAACATGTTTGCCGAAACTACCTGCTTTCAAACTTGTGAGTGTGCTCGGCAAGCAGCCTGAGATCGGCGACACCGTACAGGGAAGCGCCCGCGGAGAACACTTTCCTGTTGGGTCGAGTTAGGATGTATGTATGTGTGTGTCGGTGTGTGTGTCGGTGTGTGTGTGGGTGTAACCCTGCGGAAGCAAGCTATCAGTTTTACTTCGGGTAGTTGAGCGGCCGAAGGGCAATGTGCAGCATCATCTACGTTCGTATGTATGTGTATGCATATATGCATGAAGTGCAACGACAGAACAGAGTCCAGGAGCGGAACCCCTGAAGGGGTGGTGTCAATAACAGCCACCATGACACCTGACCCTCCCCCCTTTCTCGCAATGGGCCCTTCATTCACAACACAACACAACACAACACAACACAACACAACACAACACAACACAACACAACACAACACAACACAACACAACACAACACAACACAACACAACACAACACAACACAACACAACACAACACAACACAACACAACACAACACAACACAACACAACACAACACAACACAACACAACACAACACAACACAACACAACACAACACAACACAACACAACACAACACAACACAACACAACACAACACAACACAACACAACACAACACAACACAACACAACACAACACAACACAACACAACACAACACAACACAACACAACACAACACAACACAACACAACACAACACAACACAACACAACACAACACAACACAACACAACACAACACAACACAACACAACACAACACAACACAACACAACACAACACAACACAACACAACACAACACAACACAACACAACACAACACAACACAACACAACACAACACAACACAACACAACACAACACAACACAACGCAACACAACACAACACAACGCAACGCGCCTGAAGGCCAGGCAGGCCAGCGTGGTGAAGCCGCCCGCGCTGCCCCCGGAAATACACAGCCGCTTGGGATCCACGCGACCAGAACTAGCCAGCCACTCCGCAGCAGCCGAACAGTCCTGTACGTCAACCTGGTGGGAGGTGCAGTACAATGCAGTACAATACGGTACAGTGCACTGTATAGGGATCGTACGGCAGTTCTGTGTGGCGCTGTGATAGGTTGGGGAGGTTGTGGCAGGTGGTTATCCTGGGAAGTCATTTGATCTTGGTTGGTTGGTTGGTTGGTTGGTTGGTTGGTTGGTTGGTTGGACCTAGCGTTACGGATGATTGCGAATGGGAGGCGCGCGGGCGGATACCGGGGCGATGCGGAGGAAGTAAATGTGCTGTATGTTTGCGTTGTGATGTGTGTGTGGTGAACTGAGTAGAAGAGAAGGTGGTGGTGGGTAGTGTTGACGGTGTATGTGGGGAATCGTGTGCAGGGGGGAAGATGGGTACTTGGGGGGGGGGGTAGGGGCGCGGGAATTTTAGTACTTCACGGACTGGTGCATGTCGTCGTGCACTCAGCTAGTTTCCATGCGAGTTCCGTACTCGCCGTGCGTGCATGTGTGCGTGTGTGTGTGTATGTTTCGTTACCCGTCACCCACCTAAAACCCACCGTGCAACCCCTGCCCTCCCCCGCAAACCCCTGCACCCTCCCCCCACACCAACCTCGCCCCAGCGGCCATTAAGACGGTTACGGTACGCGGTGCCGTACCCCGTACTGCCGCCGTAATTGACATCCGCGACCGCGAAACCTGAAGTAAGGTCGCCATGAAACGGCAGTCTGCTCTCTCGGCATTTACTTTAAAAAATTTCCAGCTAAGTGACCTGGTTCACCGCGATAAGTGAGTTGAGCGTGCGCATTCCTGCCTCGCGTTTCCTGTTTCCTGTTTCCCGTTGCGCGACTCTGGTTCGGCCAGCTGCTGTGGTGGTGGTGATGGCAGAACCCCGCACCACCGCCGCGATGTGGGCTACATCTCCGTCGTACTCTCGCCGTACATAATTAAAAAAAGTTAAATCATAAGCCAAAGTGTAATCACTAAACATCATATGATGGTGCCCGATCATCACACAGATCGTACGAGGTCATTGCCACCGGGTCGTACTGCGCCGTCGTACACTCCACGGCCCGCTCCGTCCGCCCTCTTTCCACTACCCTTGCATTACACACCTCTGCTCGTCCAGTACTGCAGCAGAGCGCCGATCGCAGGTACAGCAGACGACGTAGGGCCACCGTGGCTTTCAACCAGCAGCGGCGGTAGGACCCCGGCGGGGTACGTGAAGTCCCTTCAGAGGTCCGAGGACAGCGGCGGCAAAGCGAGAGCCCTCTGGAACTTTCAAAAATGACGAGATTCTGGTTTGGGCTGTACGGCATTATAATTGGGGTTTTCGGTTGTCGTACGGGTGTGGCCGAGCAAACAAGCAACTAATCATCCCCGTGTGTCGGTCAGTCGCCTGATGACAACACAAAAAACGCAAAAAGCCACAGAAGTAGGAAGAGCCCTAAGCGTAGAGCGTAAAAAGGGTTCACGACGCAGTCCTTACGTAATGACTCGGTGCGGTACATATTCTGGTAGGACATACATACATATGTACTTATACTAGGGTTTGGCACCACTGGTAAGGCGCGACCATTGCCCCCGGGAGATCCCGGGATCGATACCCGTTAGGATCAAAAGTCCTTCCGATGGTGGAAGGCATTGCGCCCCTAGTTGATGGACGGTGGTGACCTGGGATAAAGTTAACCTGCGAGCCGACCAGGAATGGAGTTGCGCCGCCGTCGACCCGGCAGATTCCGTTGGATGCTGGTGGTGGGTGCGGAACCTGAGCGATCCACTGAGAAGTTGACTAGGGTGACTGGATGAGGGTGCCCCGAAATACCGGGGAAGGCAGGGTTTCGCAGGGTAGCTGCCACGGGCGAAGATACACCCCCCTGTTTCACACATCATATGTACGCATGAGCTCACTTGTTGGTTGGCGGGTAGTACAGCATGTGGGCGGTTGTCGGTTTGCCGTCGAAGGTGGTGGGAAACTCGATGGGCTCGGGCACCGAGATGTAACCCTCGGGAATCTGTTAGAGAATAAGTAGGAAAAAAGTTAGTTGTTGGTTGATTGGTTGGTTGGTATTCACAACCCTAAGTTGATTAGTCTTTTTCAATGGCTAGGTGATGCAAAACACAATCACTCCACAACCGGACGATATTCAATACGCGCACACAGTACACATACATACACATACATACACAAACGTACAAGCGCCCAAACGTACACGTGCACGTACACACGCACACACGTACACACGTAAACACACATACACAAGCACAGGCATCGCCACCTCTGCCCCGTAACAAGCCCCGGGGGAAAGGGCGGCCCTCCAACACCTCTTAAGACATCTCTTTAAAACATAGCCACCTGCGACGTGCTGGAGCTCTTGATAACTTGCAAATCCGCCGGCGTAACCGCCGTAAGCGCCTCCAGCGACGTCGCCGTCAGCTGTACGACAGCCTGGCCACGTGTGAACGACGCGGCGATGGCTGCCACCGTCAGTGGTGCGCCGCCGCCGCTGCCGCCGCCACTAGCACCAGCCAGTCGTACAAGCGGCGGGCTGCTGAAGTGGGTCATACCTACATATTACGACAAGAGGGTTCTAGTTAGTTAGTTAGTTAGGACGAGGAAGTTTCAGAGGATTGCTTGTTACCTGTGTAGCCTGTCCTTGACCGGGGAACCCCACCTTACCCCACCCACATACGCATACACACACACACACGTTGTCGTGTCCAATCCCTCCTTCCCCCGTACCGGTGCCCCCTCTCCTCCTCCGCACCCCCCGGGCCCCTTCGTGACGCCGTGTGTAGACAGATCTACATAAAGGTCTACACAATCCACCAGCCCCGAGGCTCGTACCCCAAACCCAGAACCCCCCTCCCGCCCCACCCCCCGGGAACCCCCCTCCCGCCCCACCCCCCGGGAACCCCCCTCCCGCCCCACCCCCCGGGAACCCCCCTCCCGCCCCACCCCCCGGGAACCCCCCTCCCGCCCCACCCCCCGGGAACCCCCCTCCCGCCCCACCCCCCGGGAACCCCCCTCCCGCCCCACCCCCCGGGAACCCCATCCCACCGCACCCAGGTTAATGGACGTCAGCTTCCAGCCGCCACCGCTGACGACCCCGGCCCCGGCAGCGGAGGTGGAGGTGGAGGCTGTAGAAGCGGTTGTAGCTTGTGCTGGCGGCTGTAGCAACCCCAAGATTTGGCCCGCGACCCGTGGGTCCGTGAAGACCCCTAGCACGGAGCCGTCGGACAACACCTTCCCCCGGGGGCATCGGAGGGGTTTCAGGGTTTTTATTACTTTGCGTTGTGAGGCGAAGTTACGGGGGGGGGGTACGGGTACGGGTATGCAGTAGGGCCGTGGGGTGCGGGGTAAGAAGACGAACCACTGGCGAGTGAAGCAGATACCAGCAATAGATAGTCCTGGATAGTCCATAATGGAGACAAATCAAATGCGGAATCAGGAGTATTTACTGACCAGCCCACCGGTCAGCCCGGGAGGCGGGGGTGTGGGGGTGTGGAGGGGCTGGGAGGGGCTTGGAGGGGGTGGGAGCAGCTGAGGGTCGACGGGTCGAAGACCGAAAAGGAAAATGTAGGTGTGTATGAATATATGAGTGTGGAAAGATCAGACCTTACGTGCATGTCGTACCTGGTACGAGCGACGGTCCAAATTCCAGCTCGGGAAGCCCCACTCTGCTTCCATGGGAGCTAGAGACTCAGCCTCCGCCGCGGCGCTCGTCCAGCCAGCGGCTGCGTCGTACACGGTCGTACCGGTAGTGACAGGCGCACGGCAGCGGTACAGATTCCACCAGCCGGACTTGTCGTCCACGAAGTACAAGTACGAACTGTCAGGCGACCACATGGGCTGCTGTACGGCACTGCCAGGCTCCCCCGCCGCGCCGCCTGCGCCGGCAATCCTAAACAAACAACAATATAATATCTTTGTCAAATGTAAAATTTGTTGCTGATAATATAATCCAAGAAACATGACATAATGCAATGAACGTGATGCAGCCAACAAGCAGAGCACGTGAGCAGTCTGGCAGCCGAATTTTGGTGGAAAACAACGGAGCGCAGGCCGACATACACTACACACACACACATAAGCACACACACACATAAGCACACACACACATAAGCACACACACATAAGCACACATACATACATACACACACATAAGCACACATACACATAAGCACACATACATACATACACACATACACACATACATAAGCACACATACATACACACATACACACATACACACATAAGCACACACAAGCACACACGCACCTGATCGCCTGACCCACGGTTCCGTCGTCGAGCAGTGGTGCCACCAACAAAGTGGTGTGGTCCTGTTGACCACAGCAGAGGGGGGCCGCAGGGGGCGCCCCCCAGCAGCGGGAGTGGGGCCCAACACTCGGTAGGAGGGGCTGATGGCATTACGTACTGCCGCAGCACACGTCACCCCCAAGGCCCATGAGAACTACCTCCACCTCCTTCTTTTCCCCTTCAGCAGCACAACTACTGCTGCAGCTATTGCTACAGCTACTGCTACAGCTACTGCTACAACTACTGCTACAACTACTGCTACCACACCCACCCACTCACCCAGGGCATGTTCGGGAAGTCCCACTGCACCCAGGCCAGCCAGCGCCCGGAGGGGCTTATGGCGGGGTAGGAGTAGAAGTTGGCGCCGGACACCAGTGCGGTCACATCACCGCTAGAGACGTCTGATTGCCGCCGGGGGGGGGAGGGGAAGGCAGGGCGGGGGAGAGTGTGTTTGTGTGTGTGTTTGCGGGGCGGGGTGGGGGAAGAGAAGGGCGCCCCGCACCGCCACATGCATTGCTCCACACGGCCCACTGGGTGCTGTCGGGTGAGGTCACCAGGTGTACGGCATCTAAACAGCAACTAACAGCAGCTAACTGCAACTATCAGCAACTAAAAGAACGAACTAAGAAATTAAATGAGCAACAGAAAAAGCAGCAGTAGCAACAGCAAAAAAACAGCTGTAGCAGTGACGACTGCAGCCGCAGCCGCAGCCGCAGCCGCAGCAGCAGCCGCAGCAGCAGCAGCAGCAGCCGCAGCAGCAGCAGCAGCAGCAGCAGCCGCAGCAGCAGCAGCAGCAGCCGCAGCCGCAGTCAAACCACCACAACAGCACTAATGCGGGAGAAAGAGAGAGAGAGCACCTAGCACCTAGAGAACAGCGCCTATCGGCAACCCACCGCAAACCGCTCCCTCTCTCCCCTCTCCCCCTCCCCTCTCGCCCCCCTTTCTCCCCCCTCTTCCCCCC